GTATTTATTTATTATGCATTTAAAGTAGCTTTAAACTTTTTTAAAAACTATTTAACCACTTAAAAAGTTGGTAAAACTTTGCAATAGATAATAAGTGAAATAAATTAGATCAACATTTTTATTTTATTTTCTGCCAGTTTATATAAATAATAAATATTCTGATTACTTATTATACCAATTTGATTAATTTTAATTATCATTTAATTATCAGTATGTTAAGTCATCAGATTTAATGTGTTAATTTTACTGAAAACAACTATACCAAACCATTTTTATTATCTCCACACTTGCCATCTTTTTGGCATGTTATTATTGATCCTTATACAGAAAATTCAAAAAAAAATCTTCTTCCATCAGTGTCGTACTTCTTTATTAATTAGGTAAATTTGTTAACCCACCCCATCTATCTCTTTTAGTTGCAGCATTTTTGTAAAGAAAATGTCAACGAAATTGTATACAAATATCTAACTGAAGTAAACTTCAAACTATGTAGGGAAAAGTTGCCTTAATTGGAACAGCGCCTTAATTAGAACACTTGCATTTATTTTTGAAAAAAAAGGAGTTATAGCTATATTTTGCATTTTTTTAGTAAAACGTCTATTTTCTACGTTTTGACACATTTTGAAAGTTATTTTTCAAAAAATGCATGTGCACCATTGATTCAAAGTTTTTTGCGTCATTTTTATTTTTTTTTTGTAATCTAATTATGTGTTCAAGCTATATTGATTGCGCTGGGTAAACTATACTGCTATGATTATACGCTTTTTTGTGTTTAGTTCGATGGAATTTAAAATGCAAAATAGCAATATAAATTTATCTTATAAGTTGGTGTAAGCATAATGTTGCAGTGATATAACAAAATAGTCCAAAATTTTCTTTATTGAAACTTTAAACTTTTTCCTTTTTTTAATCAGTAATAAAATCAAAGGGTTGTAGGAATAGTTCAAGTGCAATTTAGTAGTACTTAATAACAATTATAAACCTTAAAAATATGACTTTGTTTAGTGATTTTTAATTCATAATTTAAGAAAATGAAATAACAGTTCAATGTTTAATTCAACTTTTTGTTTGTGCACTTTTAGTTTGTCAGGGTAACATTAATCCTATTATAAATTTTGAATGAACTGTTTAAATCCTTAATGTAAATATAAAAGTTTTTAATCAATTTTTGTTAATTTTACTAGGTTTTTTTTTTCCAATAAACAACCTGTTCTGATTAAGAAATCAAAGTGTTCCAATTTAGGGAACCACTTGCCTTGATTGAAACAAAATGGTAGCTTTGCAAAAACAAGTTTATTTCCAATAACAGTGCAATCAATTAAGTCAAAATATGGTTAAAAGTATAGAAGGGTTGTCTGTTTGTATTAATCTTTGTAAAAAAGCCTAAAATTTTAAAAAACATCAAAACATCGGGAAAAAATTTTTGCGCAAAACTCATGAGGTACTTGTGTTCCTAATGAAACAAGTGTAGTCAGCCCGTTTAATAGACGTTAAAGAGACAATTTTTTTTTTTTTTCATTGGAAAAAAGATCATACATCCGAACTATTATTTAGTTCAAAAATAACTAATGGGGCGAGGATCCTAATAAAAAGTTGGTGGTCTGGAAAAAAATTTAACAAAAACTTAATAGAAACTAATAGAAGAAAAAAATTGTCCGTCCGTATCCGGGTTTTTTTTTTTTTTAAAGAGCACTATAATTTTACAATAAGAAGTTAAAAATTAGTTTTACGTTATAGGGTATTTGGAGTTATAAGAATTTATAAAGACAGATTTATTTTCTACCACTTACTAAATTGTGTCAAAATAAACCTTTAAATAAAAATTAAGTACATAAATGTTTGGTAATAAATTGTTTTACAAACCGTTTTATGCATGTAATAATAAGTTCATTATTCCACATTTTTTTATTCATAACTTTGGTAGGCAATCCAAATCAAAGTAAATAGTGATGATTATACTTGTTTGGAATTTACTACTTTTCTCTAATTTGTTACATTTTTTAATATATATCACATATGTAATGTGGACCAATAGACCATGTGAGATTTACAATTAAAAATTTCAACAAAATTCCTTAAAAATCAAAAAAGTATTTTAAAAAGTAAACTTATTTTTATAGACTTGCTAATACTTATCACAATCAAAATTAGTAACAAAAATATATTTTGCTCTTTTGCTAATTACACACCAACTTTTTTATCTAAAGGTTATGAAGTGCATTGCCTTAACTAGTTTAATACCAGGGTTTTATGCAATGTTTAATTTATAAATAGCCAAAATTAAAAAATATTTTTCTTTATTTTGACTTTGCTAATCTTAATGACTAAATATAAAATCTGAATTACCTTAATGACTTCAACTTTAAGTTTCTTTTATGTTTAATACTTGTTAGTGAACTGTAAGTTGAGAGTTTTTTAATACAAATATTATAAAGATATACTTAAAAATATTAAAAGTGACGTTAAAAGTGTTAAACCAACATTGTAAATTTAAAATATTACGTTTAACTTTTATTCTTTATTTTTTATACTTTGTTTATTATCATTATTTAAGTATTGTTCGAAACAAAGTTTTTTTTTTTTTTTATAATTGAAAAGACCATTTTACAAGTATACTTCCAAGCATAGATTTTTCTTATAATGAAATTCTAAGTTCATAAGTTACTCGTTGTAGTTATGCGTTATAGTTTAAAATCTCATTTTGATATGTAGTTGTCTTAATGATGCCTTATATTTTTATAAGGTGTTACCTTATAAAAATGTAAAGTAAATGTAAAAATAAAATCACTAATTTATATTAAAAGTACTCTGACCTAAAATAATATCCTATAAATTTTAAAAACTCATACATTGAAATACATTGAAAACGAAGAAATGATTAAAATGAAAATAAACAAAAAAAGAAGTTTGTAAAAATAAGAAAATGAAAAACAGTTGAACTAAAAATAAAAAAGCAAAAATCATATAAAGACAAAAGAAGCAAAAGCTTAATGCAAAAAAAATTTTGTTAAATTAAAAAAAAAAAATACAAAAAAAAGTATATTTAAAGAAATAAAAGACAATATTTTAAATATTAGGATTATACACTTATGTACTATGTCTCAGTAATCTTGTTAATCCTTTTATGTGCAATTCTTCAACGATGGCTTGTATTTTAATTAAGTTCGTAAAAACTTCCTCCTTAACTTTGCATTGATTTTTGCTCCTACTTTTTTATTTTTTTTTTCAATATTTTTTCTTGCTTACAAATTCAAGTTTTGGTTTAGTTGATACACTTGAGTACTTTGCATTTAATTGATTTTCAGACTAATTGAATACTTTTGACAACTCCTAACAGCGGAGTTAATTAGCGGAGTTTTTTTAAAGATTTTTTTTTTGTTTTGTCGTTTCATTAAATTTTATGGGTTTTTTTTGATATTAAAATATTTTTTGGGAATAAACAATATACAATTTTAGGTGTGTAAACTGCCACATCTTTACATAAAAAATACTTTTCCTGCAAACTGCAGAGCAATGTTTAGATTATCTACCTAATAACATGCGGTATCTCGATTAACACATTTTTCTTCAGTTTTTTGCTTGGTGTTAACTTTGAGTATATTCAACCATCTTTAAGATTACATTCAAAACAGTGTGAAATGTGCGTCAATGGATAAATTTTGCAAATAATCGGGTTTATTTTTCTTAAAGTTCGTCATCCTCAATTAGATCTAGTTGGTCATGTTTGTTAATAAGTCAATTATGCTACAATTATCGGTTGGTTTATTTTAATGACACTTTGATACTTAAAAGTTTGTTTCACTAAAACATACAGCATTGTTTTCAATTTTGGCTTCATGAAAACGATTTCCTCTAGAATTGTAAGTTAAAGAATATACTTTGGTTCTATCTATGATTTTAAATAAATTTAATGCATTTCCACTGCTTACCATTTTTAATAATCACTATTAAAAGTTACTGAAACATCCATAAAAAAAATTTATCTTAACATACATTGTCTTTTATCTGTTTTTTTCATTGTAACTGCTCAATTAACTCAAGTTCAAAGCTTTACAGTTGTACCTTACTGCAATTTATCTATATTACACACAATTAAAAAAAAAACATATCTTCCTTTTTGTATTTTTTGTGTTTGCTTTGTCAGCAACTTTTATATAATTACAATGTGTATTATTAATAACACAAAAATAAATTTTAATAACAAAACATCATATTAAAATATATTTCATTATAGTTTAGGTTCTTTAGTTTATCCTTCTCCATCTGATTAATATGCGGAGACCATATAACAAAGTCCAAAAAGATAAATTTAGCTCACTAAAGAACATTGTAACCCGCTTCAATGCACCAAGAGTAAGTTTTTTTTTAGAAGAATTAAATTAAAACAAAGTAAATGTAAGAAGCGGTTATATTAGAAAGATATCATAAAGTAATGCGGATATTTAAAAGGATTGTATCTTAGGTAATGTAGTTTAATTTCGTCTAAAACTCACATTTTTATTGTTTTGAGAAAAATAAAAAGAAATAATCATCTAGCTTTTGAATATTAATATCTATATAATTGTAATCAAGGATTATAAACAACTTTTTATTCATACTAACATGCTTAGATTCGTACTTATTTCAGCAAAGAATACAAGTTTTTAAAAACTCAATTTTGGAAAAAATGGAATAGGTTCCTTTAAGAAAAACGCTCTTCAATTTTTAAATGTAGATGCTTTTAAAAGTAAGCTTAAAGAAAAGCGGGCAATAATTCAACATAGTTGAAACTTTGCTACTAATTGAAAATTATATATAAATATTTTTAATAATACACCGTAAAAAGCTTCCACAAGATAACTTCTGGTGTTACAAATTAAAAAGCTAAACTTCAATTTTTACAAAATAAATAATAACTTTTAATTAAAAATTAATAAATCACTAAAACTAGATCATCAATAATTTCTTTATTTTCCATACAAACAGATCTAAGCAAAATATGCTGAAAAGGGTAAAAAAAG